GAGAAGGTAATGAATAATGTCTTGGTCAATGCTGACTTAATTTTTGTTGATGTGGCTCTTTATGATTGGCTGGGACCTCACTAATATATTAGTACCAATCTATGGAAGGGATAAGGGTGTTATGGGCATTTTACTTAATTTAATACATGACGTCGGCACAATCCGTTATTAACTGACGTTGACTCTAACAGAAGGGAGGCCTGTGTAGGTTAATTTCATTTTTAGGGGAGGTTTGTGTAAATTCCCAAACCATAGGGGAGGTCCTTGTAATTATGACAAATTATAGGAGAGGTCTGTGTAATTTACCCTTATTTAAATGAGAGAGAGAGAGAGAGATTAAATGTAATGTGGGCAGACCACCTTACGTCCCACCACATAATTACATCCCAAAAATATTGTACCTGTTTGTGTAAGTAGTACGTGTGAGAAACAGAGGTAGACTCTCTCTCTTAACTCTCCCCACCAAAGCTTGTTCCGATAGGTAGGTGTGTATATACAATTAATTTCAACCAAACTATTTGCCTTCTTCAAAACCTAGATCTTAAGTTTTTCTGGGTTAACTTTCACTTTTGAAGGTAATAGCATGTTTTCATGATCCTGAATCCTTTGTTCATTCTATTCAAAAACCTCGTGTCATAATAATGCTTGTTAAGGCCGATGCACCTGATCAAACCATCAAAATGCTATCCGTTTACATGGAGAAAGGAAATTGTATTATTGATGGTGGTAATGAGTGGTATGAGTACACTGAGAGGAGAGAGAAAGCCATGACTGAACTTGGTCTGCTTTAAATTGACCTGCTTGTGGAAGTAGTGAGATGCAGACAAGGGTAAATTAGTTATTTTGTGCCCTTGTTAATTATGTCAACCAACAATGTCAAATAAGGGGGGTCTAATTGAAGATTTGCAAATGGGAGGGGGCTAACTAACATATAGATAAAGAACAAGGTTCTAAATGAATTTTGCCCTAAATTTTTCTAAGTTACAAATTTTGCAGAACTAATGCTCAAATATTCTTTTGATTAAAGACCAAATCACAAATGCATTACCTATTTGACCATCCAAATTAGTACTACAAGCTTCAATTCGACCAAAGACCTCAACATTGTCGACATTGCATACGGTGTAAGAAAAATACCCATCTTAGACATAGGAAAGAATGTGTCAACAGGCCGATCAATCATCCCAGTTCAACAATAATTTTCAACTAAGAAGCTATAAACAGTGCTAGGATTTGAATCATAACTCCAGAACTGAAAACATCAGTCCCCCAAAAGCCAGACTCTTTTATTGAACACTCGTCGAGCTAGATCGAACAGTCTCTTACTAAAAAGTACATGTACAATACTACAGAAAGACGAACACTGTGATTGAACCCTAGATAATTCTCGAACCACTCGAAGAACCGGATACTAGGTTTTGAGCGCTTACGATAGAGAATTGATTATACGTGGTCGGATTGTAGTTTAGGGAGAGAAAGGGGGTCTAAGTGTTAAAGGTTCCTTGGTGAAATGCGTTATGGGTTTTTGATAACGGAGAGTAAAAATTGATGGATGAAAATTAAAAATATTTGGTCTATTAATGGGGTTTATGATAATGCAATGCAGAATCCTACGGACGTTCCTTAGCCAAATCAGAATGCCCACTGCCTTCCTCACCGCGTGGACTAGCTCGATTGACAAGGAACCGTTGGCGATTCACTGGAGAAGAGCAAAATCAGGTAGACTCTGAAAGAAAAGAAATAGTGAAACCCTCTCCTAATTAGTAGCCAGTCACAGGCTGAAGGATTTGTTCGTGGGTTCAATTTTAATGAATCTACTAGTGAAAGGAAAGGTGGGCAGTGAGTGACGGTGGAGGTGGGTGGTTGGAGTGGTGGAGGTGGCCAATGAAGATAGATAAGGGGTTAAGGTGAGTGGGGGTGAGGGTGGTTGGTTGGTTGGAGTGGTGTAGGTGGGGAGTGGGGAGTGGGTCGTTGGAGTGGCAGAGGTGTGTGATGGTAGAAAAGGGTGTGTGTGTGTGTGTGTGTGTGAGAGAGAGAGAGAGAGAGAGAGAGAGAGAGAGAGAGAGGAAACCCTAATGTGATAAGAGGGGAAAGAGGTACTTCATATATAAAGGATAAAAGAGTCATTTTATTTTTTTAATCTTATTACATGATTTTTAATGTCCGTTAACTGTCTAACGTCAATAAGGGGTCAAAAGATCAATTTCGACCACCGTGTGTAATAAGAGCAAACCTCAAAGGGTGTGGATATAATTGGCCAATTTTTTAAAAAAAATTATAAATATCATGGCATAACGTGTGTAATAGGCCTAAACCGAGTAATCTTAGTAGGATTCTTGACTTTTGGAACTAAAACCAAATTGGTGTGCTTATGAGCTTTCAACAAATTCCCATTACTTAGGAAATCATAAAAAGCCTCAAGGAGATCAGCTTTAACTAAATTCCAGTACCTTTGGAAGAAAACTATTAAAAAGCCATCTGGATCCATCGCAAACACTACTTCCTTTAACTCCTCTTCAATTTCCAATTTTAACAAAAGCCTATTATCATCTTCACTCACAAGTTTTATATGATTGAAAACCTAACCAGAATCAGTCCAATGCTCTGAATGCAATAGTTCACAAAAATGCCCTCTGCTTTCATCCTCACACCAAATGCCCTCTGAATTTTTTCTTCTTTGTAGAGTTCTAGAGTGAAAATTATCTAGCATTCTTGTCCCCCTCACTAAACCATTGCACCCATGATTTTTGCTTCCAATAAAGCTCTTCTTTTTGCCACAACCTGTTTGATTTCAATTTAAGCTCTCTATGTCTGTTTGCATTAAACTCATGGTGCTCTTGAATTATGTGATGTTGTGGCCCGAATTTGGTTTTGGTAGACCCGACAATCCGTTGATTGAACTTTGTGTGGGCCTTGAGCCCACCAAAGCTTTGGGGGTTCAGGGGTAGCGTCCCTGAGGAAAATTTTTGACCCGTTGGGTTAGTACTCTCTCATGTAGGGTTTGGGGCTGAAACTTGTAATCTTCTGTTTTTCATATGGTGAAACTGTGGTGTTCTTATTTTTCTGTCGAGTTTCTTGGGTTCGTCGTGTTTGTAGTAACAAATTACCTTAAGCTCAATCTCACTTTCCCGAATCACCCTATCTGCAGTCCAATTTTTTGACCTAACCCAGTGTTTCAACTCCTCTTTACGGTGTTGAGGTTCAATTTCACCATGAACATAGAGTCCACTTGGACTGCAGAGTCCCAAGCCTTCTTTATTGTATCGTGAAACTCTTCTTCATCCAGCCTTAAAGCCATATGATCTGTATCGATGACTTGCAGATGTTTGCCTTCAGAAACAACTTGAGCCATTCCTTCTCATTAAGCCCCCGTCAAGACCTTCATGAACATTGGCACCTCCGTTCCGTTGATTATTCCAAGTATATGGGTATCCTCTACACCCAACTTCTAAAAGCTTGCAATCTGTAATGAATTGATTGAAAGCCTGAAAAGTTCATCGAGGACAAGTCATCCCCCCAAAATTTCATCATCTGATCGAATGTTAATAGAATCACCAATAAGGAGACAATGGTGAGAGCTCTGAGCCAATTCCATCACATAAGCACTCCCATTGATTTTTCCTGATCCCATCATCCACTGCAGCATAGACACCACAAAAATTCCAAGCATAGTAACCTTGATTGTCCCAAAAAAACAGCAGAAATATGGAACTGATCTGCATTTCCTAAATCAACCTCGGTTTCCTCCTTCTACAACAAAGATAAACCTCCCGCCAATCCTAGAGGATCAACACACATCTTGAAATCGAAAACTAAGCGACCCTGAATATTCTCCATGAAGTCCTCCTGCTGATTCTACATGAGTAGGTGTTTATATCATAACTATTGACTAAAGGTGCAATTAAAGAATGATACATACCACAATATGGAGGAGATTAGTGGTTATACCTACCAATGAAGTGATAAAGTTTGGTGGGAGATTTTTAAGGCTGCTAAGTAACTATCAACAAGGAGATCAATGGTCGAAAATGGATTTGATGCGCTTCCAACCAATCAAACTGTTCCATGATGTGTAGATGGTTAGAAGGCAGTAAAAGCAGTGACAAAAAGGACATGTGGCAGCATAGGAAGAAATGTGTATCTAGAGTGTTTATCAGCAGTTATTGTTAGAAGTAACCACAAACTTGAAGTAACTATAAGTAGTAGATTTGGAAAAAAAATGGGCTCTCTCACACACATCAACAACTTGTCCTTTATATTTCTGTACTTTATATTTAGTAATATAAAATTTGGGTCCATGTTCCTCCACCCATGGAATTGAAGTGCACCAAACGTTTAAAAACTCCAGCAGGTCCACCAGGACCGAATGTAAATTCCTTTATCTCCTTGAACTTTCTAGGGACTGATCTTGATGCTCCCCTAGTCCAAATGAGCCTTAGTCACAGGGCGTTGATTCTGTTCCCTGTGTGTCTTTGGTGGAGATGGAGATCAGAAGATCATCCAAAGGACGAGCAGCCTAATAAGCAGGCCAGTAAAGCCGTAGAAAAAGGGCCAGTAAATAACCTATTTTCTGGTATTGATACCCTAGTTTGTACTACCAAGCTTAGTTTCCTTGTAATCTAGACTTTTATTCCAGTATTTAGTTAATGAAATTTATCTTTTCAAGTAATCTTCTTCTAATTATCTCAATTTCAAAATCCTTTTTGCAATGGTAAACGAACCTAAAGAGGGGTCATTCCCTCGCCTGATACAATTGTCATTTATGGTCAGTTATTGGGCATAGTTGTTTTGCATCATTCCATTGAGCTCTCGACAAACTCTGGCACAACTGTATGGCCTCATATCTTAGCTGAAAGAAGGAAGTTAATTTTCTGCCAATTAGTAGGTCTTTTTTTATTACTTTTTTATGTCTATAGATAAATAATTACAAAAACTTTTCAAAAAGAAAGTATAGCATTTACTTCGAGTTAGCACGTTAACTATAGATGATATGTTCATACCAGCAAGCATAGGAGGGATTCCATCTCCGCCTAGAATACCTTGGTCCCAGCCTTTAATAACCTATGACATGCATAAAAAAGATTGATCATCATCTTGGTTGGCTAGTTGTTTAAGCTTATATATTAAGAACCAAAATAAATAAAATAAAACAACCCCAAGTAACATCTTTGGGAGTTGTGCGCCCGCGGGGGGAAGCTCCGCATGCATTACTTCTTGAGAATAACTTGTTTGAATTGTCTAAATTATTTGTTCTTCTTTTGTTATGCTAACGCAAGGCCATTTTGAGGTTTCATTAAATTTCTATGCAAAATAAAGTTCTTTTCTGGAGCGAATGATGAATTCTATTGAACTTGCTTACGCTGCTACAATGGTGAACCTCAATTACATCATGCAGTAGAGAGTTATAGGCTGGAGTAATTCAGATTGAATAGAAATTGCAGTTTGTCAAAACTTTTTAGGTAAATTACACTCACACCTTGCGATAATTGCATTTATTATACACAAGTGGTGAAATTTTTAGAGGTGTTCAAATTTCTATTACATGAGTTATGGTTTTGCTATCAATGCATGTAACTTGTGTTAATTGAGTGTGTTTTTTTTCCCTGAATGAGTCGATTGTATTAAAGATTAAGCAATTAAGTACAAAGCTAATAAGAGGCAGCATACCCCCTCTGCACAACATAATCCAAAGGCAAACCCACTTCCAATAGCGAAGGAAGAGGAAGAAAAAGAATAAAACCATAGTGGGAAACAAATCACAGAATAGAGGTGATGTCCTGCAATCGGTACCCCAAAATGTCCATAACTTCCCACCAAGCAGCATTGGCAATGACTTCAGAAGGCTTATGAGAGTTTACGTATCATATGTTTGTTAATTGAATGTTGGATTAATTACAACAACACCCCCTGAGGTTTGACATAATGACAACTATATATAAGTTGGGCCATTTTTGAACAATGACACCCCCTTAAGTTTGTTAAAGCTAACAAAGGCAACCCAATGGTCCTAAATCACGATGAATTGACAATATTGCCCTTTGACACATTCAATTACCAATTTATCCAATTTAATTTTTTTTTATTGACAAAAATACCTTACCCAAACCAACAGCCACCACATGAACCACGTGACACTGTTGTTGACAAAAACCCACCATCATACATTAACTTAAACCGGCTATTGTAGATTGGTGTTTCAATTATTCGCTTTGTAGAAGGGAATGGACTCGTTGAAAGAGGAGGATAAACGAAGAGCTGCCGAAGACGGCGACGGAGACCATCGTAGCGTCGTGGTGGAGCTGCCACTTGGGGATGCCGCGGCCAATTTCGATTTGGAAAGCGCCGTATGCAGCCATGGATTGTTCATGATGGCCACTAATTTCTGGGACCCACTCACCAAAACCCTCCAACGCCCACTACGCTTCAATTGCGATGACAATGGTGAAGAAGTCTCCGTATCTTCTCTCCTCGTTCGCATATCTTATCCCTCTGACCCTCCTCTCTCTCTCCACATTTGAGTTTTCGGCACGGAGTTCCTCTCTCCTCAGCACCAACAATCGTTGTTGGTACTGAATGAATGTTTCAAACCCCCCTTTCTCTTTCTCTCTCTAAAACCCATCTCTCTCTCTTATTGTCTTCTCAACCCAAATTCTGCAGCAGACCCATGGACCCATCTCCACCCATCGTATTATCAGAAAGATTCAGAACAACCAAAACAAAGCTTTCTTGATATCGAGCAATAAATCTGTATATGATTTTAAATAGGGTGTGTGTGTTTATGGAAACAAACCCTACCGAGATCATAAGCTATATATATATATAGGAGAGGATTGAAATTGTAATTGGATTTCTGATTATGTGACAATGATTATGAAGAAGGTGTTCAGAGACCCCTGCAAATTCACTAGCGTTTATTGCGACGACTACAAGGTGATCGCGTTGAATCCCGGTGATCCAAGGGCCGGTGCACCCGGTCTTACCGGACGGCTCGATCCTGCCATCGGCAAACTCTCCGCTCTTGCCCAATTCACCGTCGTACTAGATCGTATCTTCTGTTTGGTCCCTCTGTTGGTGTCCAAAACCCTAACTCGGCTCGACCTCAAGCATAGCGAACTCTCCAGTTCTTTCTCATCGACCACACTCCCTCCTTTGCTCCAATACTTTTCTTTTGTCCTGCTCAGCTTTTTCCACAACAAACTTGGCCTTTCAGCTTCTTGTGCCACAATTGGCGTTGCCTCAAGCTTCTTGTGCCGTGATTTGTTCGTGCCCTTCGCTATGGGTTGGATCAAGATCGGGCTCCATGGTCATGTCCTCGGGCTTTGCGCCACCGATCGACCAGTTTGGTGAGGATTAAGAGGTTGTGGGTATGTTTGATATGTGGTGGCGACACCTTGGCCGGTGATGGTGGGTGGTAGTGGAGGCGATGGCGGGTGGCGGTGGGTGGCAGTGGTGGCGATGCCACTGCTCTCTTCCCTTTACTCTTCCATGGGCAATAGTGTATATAATGTATGTATATAAGGGTAAAATTGACTTTTCATGAGTTCTGATATTTTATAATAAAATTGAATTAAATATTGAAGGGTAATTTCGTCTTTTTCAACGTTTTAAGGGCTTGTTTGGATCAAAATTATCACAGGGGGTGTCTTTGTTCAAAAAACAGCTAAGTTTTATATGGTTGTCAATATGTCAAACCTCAGGGGTGTCGTTGCAATTAACCTTTGAATGTTCTACTATCAATTATATATATCACATGTTTGCCTATTGAATATTTTACTGCCAATTATGTATATCACGTGATTGCTTATTGAATTTTTTCTACCAAATATGTATCACATGATTGCTTATTGAATTTTTTCTACCAAATATGTATCACGTGTTTGCTTATTTCTAGGTATACAAATTGTGAAGTTTGTCCCTTTAGTTGTATGTGTTGGGATTATGTGCCCTAAAAGCTAATTATTTATTTTTGTACTCGACATTTTCTTAATAAATATGATTTATTATTATATTAACTATTCAGGCATTGGGCTTTTCATATGTTCGTATAAGGTGCATCATAGTCCTCAAGTTGCATTATAGGTGACTTAAGTATGTGGATGAGATTTACATACAAGAGATTTGAGCTCACCGGTTTCTTGTATTGTTCGCAATTGGTGATAAAAGTTGGGCACTTTTATATATAAGACTAACTCACTTGACTTCTATAAGATAGGATGGTTTGTCTCGACCATTGAGGTAGTTGACTCTAAGTCAATATGTTAGTGTGTTTGGATTACACTAAAATGGATCACCATAAGATCACATCATTCAAATTACTATCATTATTTTAGTGTGATTCTTATATACTAAATGCATTAGGCTCTAAATCCTGCGAGATTTAGTGGAATCAAGTTTCAGTGTTGGTCACTTTGACTTACCAATGTGTGAGATTTTTTAAGATCAATACCGCGATATCTTGGGTGACTAATGTTGGAGTTGAGGGAACACAAACACTCAACATGAAATCCACGCTCTTTATATGAGTAAAAGAATATCCCCCTTGAAGCAATTTAGTAAGTTTTATCACTAGAACCTGGCCAAGGCATTTTAGTAAAAAGTTCACTAAAACTATTATTTTTTAACTATTATTTAGTTAGAAAAAATTATTTATTTGATTTTTTAATTCAATGATCATAAAGTTTTAAATTGATCACTTAAGGAATATAAGATATAAGTAAGCCTTAGGTGGAGCGGTATTTAATTTTTCTACGACTACTTATAAATATTCTGTAGTTAAGGGATTAAATGCAACTATTTAGTAGTGTTGAAAGAGAGAGAGAAAGAGAATATATGAAAAATTATATGTTATTGAGTAAGTAATACAATAATACAATGGTGTTTATATAGGAGAAGCTACAGTAGTAGGTGAGTGGAGAACAAGAAAACCCTATACATGGTAATTCTATATATGGTAATGAGGGGTAGGTGACAACTCATACAATACTAATTGTACACATGTGACAACTCATATAAAACTGTAAAACACTCCCCCTCAAGCTGGAGAGTAAATGTCAATAACTCTCAGCTTGCTACATATGAAATCAATAGAGTTCTTAGGAAACGCCTTAGTGAAGATGTCTACCAGCTGTCTACCAGAAGGAACAAAAGGTGTAACAATATCATTCGAGTCAACTTTAGATCTGTTCAAACTAGAGAGAGAGAGAACATGGTGGCTACACAATGTGTATTTCATATATCAAACCCTAAGCCTACTACAATGGCTTATATAAAGATACAAGACTCAGCTAATTACACAATGACCTTACCAACTATATGTAATTACATAATGACCCAAAATATTCTAACACACCTCCTCAAGCTGGAGAGTATATATCAAATAATCCCAGCTTGGAACAGATAGTCTTTAACCGATTATGACCCAATGCTTTGGTAAATATATCAGCTAATTGATCTTCAGACCTCACAAATGGAGTAGAGATGCTCCCACTTAATATTTTTCCTCGAATGAAGTGATAATCAACTTCAATATGTTTGGTCCTCTCATTTAACACAGGATTTGATGCAATATGAACAGCTGCTTGATTATCACAGAACAATGGAGTAGGAGTTTCAACCGTCAACCCAAGTTCTTTTAGAAAATGTTGTATCCAAGTCAACTCACTAGTTGTATGGGTCATTGCCCTGTACTTAGCTTCAGCACTAGATCGAGCTACCACCGTTTGCTTTTTACTTTTCCATGTAACAAGATTTCCCCCTACAAATGTGCAGTAGCCTGTAGTAGATCGCCTGTCTGAAGGAGAACCAACCCAGTTAGCATCTGAAAAACCTTCCACCCTGAGATGACCATTTGATTTATATAGTAACCCAAAACCTAGAGCTTGCTTGAGATATCGGATAATCCGAAGAATAGCAACCCAATGTGGCATTCTAGGAGCTCCCATGAACTGACTTACAACACTAATTGCATATGAAATATCAGGTCGAGTGATAGTAAGATAAATTAATTTCCCAACAAGGCGACGAAATTTGCTCGGGTCATTAAATAGATCACCCTCATCAGA